GAACAGTGAGTTAATTACAAGCTTCAGATCCCCATTTGAATTTTGTTGGAAAATCCAATAGGTATTAGTGTTTCTCTTGGAGTTGACCTCGCTGGAATATTAATCGATTTGAATGCTGTGCTTCTGGTTGATTATCAGTTATGCTTTGGGTCATATTGTATCTAGTGTGTAATGAATTTATATTTGATTGAATAATCTGACTTTGATAGATTGTTCTTGGAGGTGGCCTCTCAAGGATTTCTATTACGTGACTTTGTAGGGTTTGCACCACATGAGGTTGGGGTATGGTATGGACACAGCTAATGGACTTGTGAATGGGATGTATACTAATGGATTATATGGTCATTATTGGAACCCAAATAGACTTGGTATGGGATATGGATCTAATGGTTTTGGTATGCAAAGAAATGGATGTGGGTGGATGGCTTTTCAAAACAAGTATAAATACAGGGGGCGAGGCAGTTCCTTCCGCTATGGTAACCAGGACATAGAAGGCTTGGATGAGTTGAACAAGGGACCTAGAGGTAAAAGTTATAAAAATCAAAAAGGATATTCACCTGTTACTGTAGCAGTTAAGGGGTGCAACATGCCGTTGAATAAAACTGATGATGAGAAGGATGCACTTAGCATGATTCCAGAGTGTGAGCAGTACATTGGAGCAGATATCCATGATCATTATGCTGATGCTAAGTTCTTCATTATTAAGTCATATAGTGAGGATGATGTTCATAAGAGTGTCAAGTATAATGTTTGGGCCAGCACACCAAATGGAAACAATAAGCTTAATGCAGCATACCAGGAGGCTCAGGAAAAATCAGGTGGCTGCCCTGTATTTCTGTTCTTCTCGGTGAGCATCTTTATGCCCATATTAAGCCTGTCATTTCATTCACTGCTTTCCTTGGCTTAGCTTCTTCTTCTTTCTCTAGGTGAATACCAGTGGCCAATTTGTTGGCCTGGCGGAGATGGTGGGGATGGTGGATTTTGACAAGAGTGTGGAGTATTGGCAACAAGACAAGTGGACTGGCTGTTTCCCTGTTAAGTGGCACATTGTAAAGGATGTACCCAACAGTTTGCTAAAGCACATTACCCTAGAAAACAATGAAAACAAACCTGTCACTAACAGTAGGGACACTCAAGAGGTATGTCTAGTTTTCTCCATCTTGTTCCTCCATTCTCTTTTCCAATACTAGCAAGCTTTAATATGGTTATGCAGGTCAAGTCAGAGCAGGGGCTTAAAATGATCAAAATATTCAAGGATCATTCCAGTAAAACATGCCTTTTGGATGATTTTGAGTTCTATGAAGCTCGGCAGAAGACAATTCAGGAAAATAAAGCAAAGCAGCAAATCCGGAAACAGGCAAGATTTTTGCCCTTCAGTCCTATCTCCTATCCGTATCTTGTAGTGCTTGTTTTATGCGTATTTGGGTTTTTATCCTTCCAGGGTTTCCTTACAATTTTTCATATGCTTAAGCTCCTTTTATTTTCCTACTGCTCCTTTTATAATTGATTCAGAAGAACTTCTATTTTCTATGCTGATTATCTAAATGAAGGTATTGGATGGGAAGCCAACTAATGGGAGAAACCGGACAGATGAGTCACTCAAATCCCCAGAGTCATTTGGAACTGCCTTGGATTTGATTACGGAACCAACATCGATTGCTCAGACTAATGAGGAACTGAAGTTGTCGGAAAATGGATCAGTTGCAGAAACTGGAGACGGTCCAAAAGGTCCAGAAGCAGTTGTGTCCGAGGTTACTGTAACAGAATAGGTTGTAAACTGCTGCTAGCTTGTACAATGCACAATAGTGGCTCATTACATTGAAGATTTTCTTGGTAGGAGTTTCTTCAGAGGTTTTTCTGGTTTAGCTGCTTTAATGAGTATGAATCAGAGGAGTAAAAAGTGATATTAAGAGATTTTTCCAAGCCCCATCGTAGTCTTTATGTGGGTGGGTTTTAATTGACAATAGTTAGCGTGCATATCTGTACTGTTTTCTCCGCCCGTTTGATATATTTTGTTGCGAAATGATTTTGCTTTTATGCTTGTTTGTAAGAGAGATGCAAGTTTTGAACAATTGCAATACAGTTGAGTTTAAAACAGTTCCGGTGGCCTCCTGTACGTTGTCTGTTCTTTCTTTGTTCTCTCTTCTACTTGTAACTTGAGAAACACTGCCCGAGTTGTTGGCGGTAGCTGAATTTTATCAGCGGACCATGCCCATAGCATGGAAACGCAATGTGAACTCCATTCAATCTTATATATATATACCTTGAGTAGTCAGTTGAGCTAACCATATATACATCATTTTTCAGATTCTTCTTCGAGAACCATCCTAACAAACAATGTTGAAAATACGTGACTCAACAAGAATTTGAGACGGAACACGTGACTCAACACGTGTAGTACTAATAGTTAAGAGCAAGGTCTAAAATATCGATGGTATCAGAAATATCGGTAATCTAAAAGCACGGAAATTTTGATGGAAATATCAAGATATTATTGATATCGATAAAAATTAAATAAAAACCACGAAAATTGTAAGAAAAACTTGGAAATTTTTATTGAAGCTTTGGAGGATGCTTATTCAGTCAATTATCTATTAGTTTATCACAAAAAAATTGAAAGGAAATGCATTGCATGATGGGTTTAACTTATTTAAGTTGATTATATAGTGAGTGGACAAACATTGTGAGTGTAGAAAATATGTAGTAATTAATGAAAGTAAATTAAACACACCATAATCATTTATATATAATGATTTACTACAATATTCTACACTTTATACATAGTATGGTAAACCCTAAACTTAGTACCACATAGAGTTCCTATGAGGTTCAAATATTTCACTATCTTCATAATCTCTATGTGTAGAGTAAGTGTATTGTGAAGAGTAGTCATCAAATGATAAATTC